ATGTATGGCATTCAGCTTTGTCCGGGTATTTTCCCACGTCATTGTAGTTGTGCTTTTAAATATATATATTTGGGTTTTTTTTTTTTTAATCCCACCTTTATTACTTTGTAGTTAATTCAAGGTGGAAAATATATACATCGTGCTCCTTTCTCTTTCTATTTTCCCCCACAACAAAAACTCCGTTAGGTGGGTTGGGCTGAGAGAGAATGCCTGGCTCAACATCACCCCATCGGCTTTCGTGCCTAAGGCAGGGCTAGAACTCCCAGTCTCCTGGTGATGGGCTCAGAGTCACCTAGCTGTCTTTCATGCTTGAAGTGGGGCTAGAAATTACCATCTCCAGGTGATTGGCTCCAAGTTACCCAGCCAGCTTTCGTGCCTAAGGCAGGGCTAGAACTCCCAGTCTCCTGGTGATGGGCTCAGAGCCACCTAGCTGTCTTTCATGCTTGAAGTGGGGCTAGAAATGACCATCTCCAGGTGACTGGCTCAGAGTTACCCAGCCAGCTTTCGTGCCTAAGGCAGGGCTAGAACTCACCGTCTGCTGATTTCTATCCGTGTGCCTTTCCCTACTGTCTGAATTCTTAGATTCTTATAAAATGGTATTTTTGTTTGTTTGTTTGCTTGTTTGTTGCATTCAGACTCTCAGCGAGAAACGCTGAACTACGTGCGTGTCAATTCCTCGATGCCATCAGCTGCTTTGTAATCTTACAACAATTGCTAATAGGGAGCACGATCAATAAACCCTGATATGTTTGCTCATTTTCTGCTCTTCTGTCTCTCCCTGACCCCCCGCCGTTCCTGTATTGACCTTATGCAGCATTGACAAAAAGGGCATCTATCACTACCTGGTGAAGTGGCGTGACCTCTCCTACGACCAGTCTACCTGGGAAGAGGACGAGATGGCCATCCCCGAATACGAGTACCACAAGCAGGCCTACTGGTCACACAGGTACGGAGACCGTAAGAGGAGAGAACGTAGGGCCTGGAGGCTAAAACCTAGGAAGGGTGATTGCAGGATTTGGACCTGGCCAGTCTAGAGAAAAGAAGGACTAGGGGGATAGCAGCATTCCAGTATTTTGAGGGGCTGCCCCCCCAAAAGAAGGGGGTCCACCTCTTTTCCAGAGCATTAGAGGGTGCGACAAGAAGCAACGGATGGAAGCTAATCGTGGGGAGAAGCAACCTGGAAATAAGGGGAAACTTCTTAACAGTGAGGACAATGAAGCAGGGGAACAGCTTGCCACAAGAAATAGAATAGAAATAGAAATAGAATTCTTTATTGGCCGAGTGTGGTTTTACACACGAGGAATTGTCTTGATGCAAATGCTCTCAGTATACATAAAATAAAAGATACATTCATCAAGAATCATTAAGTACAACACTTAATATTAGCCATAGGGTACAATAAGCAAATCATACTAGGAAACAGTCAATATAAATCGTAAGGATACAAGTGACAAAGTTACAGTCCTACAGTGGGAGGGGATGGGTGATAGGAACGATGAGAAGATTAATAGTAATAGTAGTGGAATAGTTGAACAGTGTTGAGGGAGTTATTTGTTTAGCAGAGTGATGGCTTTCAGGAAAAAAAACTGTTCTTGTGTCTAGTTGTTCTGGTGTGCAATGCTCTATAAACGTCATTTTGAGGGTGGGATTGAAACAGTTTATGTCTGGGATGTGAAGTGTCTGTAGATATTTTCACAGCCCTCTTTTTGACTCGTGCAGTATAACAGGCCCTCGATGGAAGGTAGGTTGGTAGTAATTGTTTTTTCTGCAGTCCTAATTATCCTCTGGTCTGTCCTGTTGGGTTGCAGAACCAAACCAGGCAGTTATAGAGGTGCAGATGACAGACTCAATAATTCCTCTGTAGACAGCAGCTCCATGGGCGGTTTGAGCTTTCTGAGTTGGCGCAGAAAGAACATTCTTTGTTGTGCTTTTTTGATGACATTTTTGAGGTTAGGTGTCCATTTGAAGTCTTGTGATATAGCAGAACTGAGAAATCTGAAGGTCTCTACTGTTGATACTGTGTTGTCTAGTATCGTAAGAGGTAGGTAGTATGGGAAGATTTCTCCTAAAGTCTACCACCATTTCTACGGGTTTGAGTGTGTTCAGTTCCAGATTGTTCCGGTCACACCACGAGGCAAGTTGTACAACCTCCTGTCTGTAAATAGAACAGAACAGAACAGAATACAGTGGAGCCTCGGATCGCAACCGCAATCCATTCCCGGACTCCCGTTTGTGACCTGATTTCGGTCATGTCCAAAAGCACGAACCCACTGCACGTGTGTGCAGCAAAAAAAAAGGGGAAATTGGCACGAAAAGGGAATCTTCCCACGCCGGTTTTGTTCACCGCCTGATTTTTGAATCCTGGCCCCGATTCAAAAATCGCGTGGATTTTTTTTGGTTCACCGCCCAATTGGGTCGTGAACAGAAGCATTCGTGACCCGGGGTCCCACTGTACGTGGAACAGAACAGAACAGGATAGAATAACGGAGTCGGGAGGATTTTGGAGGTCTTTTAGTAGTCCAGCTCCCTGGCTCAGGCAAGGAGACCCCCCACTCCGCTTCGGACAAACGGTCGTCCGGTCTCTTCTTAAAAACTTCCAGCGACGGAGCGTTTAGAACTTCTGAAGGCGGATGGAAACTCATCCGGAAGATGAAGGAGGAACTTCCTAGCAGGGAGGACAGTTTAAGCCATGGAACTCCTTGCCACCAGAAGTTGTGGGCGCTCCCATCCCTGGAGGGCTTTTATTAAGAAGAGACCGGGCAGCCGCTTCGTCTGGAGGGTCTTCCTGTTTGAGCAGGGTGGGGGGGTTGGACTAGAAGACCTCCGGCGCCCCTTCCAGCCGATATCTGCTTGCAGCCGTGCCAGCTCAGCCGTGGGCCTTAGTGGCAGGAGGGGACTAGGATCGTCTTTTCTCTCTTCCTGAACCAGAGAGCTCATTATGGGGGAAGATCCAGTCCAGCCTAGGAAGTACAAGAAAAAAAAGAAGGAGTTGGCCTCAGACGACCCACCGACTTCCCCCACCAACGACGTGAGTGATTCCAGTGCTCTAGTCAGGCAAGAAGAAGGCATGCAGGTAGTCCCAGACTTACGACCACAGCTCAGCCCGACCTTTCCGTTCGCCAAGCGAGAAACCGGTTAAATTAGCTTTCGCAACCCTTTCTCGCCAGAGTCACACGGTCGTCGTCGGGAGGTCGCGAAAGTTGCTTGCGGGGCGCGCGCACACACACACACACACACACACACACACACTGGTGTGTGTCCCACCGGTGTTGCTGGGACCGTCCTTAATACGAGCCCTTCGCCAAGCGCCCGAATTTGAATCTCGCGACCACGGTTGTTAAGCGTGAAAAATGGTCCCCAGGTCACTTTTTTTTCCACCCTCCCCCCCGCGTGCCCCCCGCCCCAGTGCCGTTGTGCCTTTGAACGGTCACTAAACCGACGGTCGTAAGTCAAGGGACTGCAGAACAAGGGAAAGGGAGCACAGCCCCCTGGGTTCAGGTTTTGTAAGCGGGCCGCGCCCCGGTGCCCTTTCGTCTCCGTAGCCCACGGTGAAGTACGACAGCCAGCCGCGGTTCGTCACGTCAACCGGGGGGACGCTGCACATGTACCAGCTGGAAGGCCTCAACTGGCTGCGCTTCTCCTGGGCGCAGAGCACGGACACCATCCTGGCGGACGAGATGGGCCTCGGGAAGACCATCCAGACCATCGTCTTCCTCTACTCGCTCTACAGGGAGGTAAGGCGGGAGAAGCGACGTTTCATTTGCAGAGTCCGTCAGGGAGTTTCAGTTTGAGCCCTTTCCTCTTTCGCCACCCCTGCCCGCAAGTTTTTTTCCCTTT